TGCTTGGGATTCTCTCTCCCTCTGCTTCCACGACCCCTCAAGTAAATAAATCTTTAGAAGAAAAAAAAAAAAGTTAGAAAATAAAGGGACTTTTTCGGAGGGAGTTCCCCCAGGGCCAGTAGTGACCCTAAAGGGGACCAAAGCCAGTATGAAGGCAGGCAAGGGGGTCATGACTGGATGTTGTACAGTTGTGTTGGGCTGTTCAGAAAAGAGGAGGTTTCATTGAGGATTCCAGAATACATTCTGGGAGTTTTTCCAATGGGAGATAGGGCTGTTGGTAAGATGTGTTGAAGAAGAAGGAGGTTATTTGGGCTGATGGATGGGTCTGGTGGGGTATTTTAATGGTGTTAAAATAGTGATCAGAAACACTTTCCCAAAAGAATGACTCACCCGCTGAAGTTAGGTTGAAACGATCAAGGCATTGAGACAAGGGAATAGAACCCCTGGAGTTCCAGATGATGGGCTAGCACTAACACAGATTGGGAAGGTCATATTAAAGAGTTTAAGTTGAGCATATAACAGTCCCAAAACAGCAGGTTTGGGGAGGGGCCCCTGAGCATTTAGGATTTTTGTGCTATGTTCCGTGACCTTTCTTTGGAAGCTTCTTGCACTTACATGGGGCTGCAAGGTCCATGTTGGTGTCCAAAGACAGGTATAGGTGAAACTAGTGGGGCAGTTGGTGGTGGCCCACAGTGAAGCAGGTACAGGAGTTAGAGTGGCTAAGTGGGGTCCCACAAATATCTAGCAAGAGGAATTGGTGTTGTTGAGATTGTGTTGAGCAGTGTAAGTGATGGGGCTAAGGGGTTAGAGTTGCATTCTTGTGTGGTCCAGGGCAGTGTGAGGGGGATTATCAGGCAGAAGAAGTGAGTTGTGGTCAAAGAGGTACCCATTGATTTCTTTAAGGGTGTAGTCTTAGAAGTCCCCCTGGAGGAATGTTGACCACACTAAGGTATTGGACATAACAGAATAGAGAATTTTAGGATTTATCTGAGATGGCCCCTTTTTGAAGAGCATACTCAAAGGTAGCAGGGTTGTTTTCTTCATTAGAGGTCACAGCAGGGTTGGCTCGGGAGAGATGGATCCGTATGGCAATTTCTGGGACCTTGATGACTGTAGGGTAGGGCTGAATAAAAAGAACAGTATAGGGTCTCGTCCATAAAGGAGTTAGTTGGGATCCAGGAAATCCATCTCTCCAGGTTTTAATTAGGACCTCATCTCCTGGTTGGACTGAGGAAGTTGGGTTTGAGTGGTGGGGCTTTGGTAGGATCTGTTTTTCCCATAGTGCCTCTCAAAGGCACTAACTGAATAAGTCCTGTCCCAAGAACAGATAGATGAATTTTAGCTTGGTCAGTAGGGCAGTCATTCCCATAACCAGACAGGAGTTGAAGGAAAGCTTACCTGCTAAAGAGGTTAAGACAGAGTAGGTGGTTCCCGTGTCCAAAAGAAAATTCATTGTCCTACTTGCCATGTCAGGGGTCACCCTGGGCCCCATTGCAATGTTGGAAACAGTGAGTGGGGGAGCCTATTGGTGCCCTAGGACTCCTCAGACCGTGGTGGTAACAGCTAGAAGGGATTCTGAACCTCTGGTTCTCCGACTAGAGGGGCAGTCTCTCTTCCAATGTCCCATTTGAGGATATTGAGCCCGGGTCATATTATGGCCTTAAGGACATTCATCTCTCCAGTGTCCCTCCTTTTTGCAATGGCAGTAGGCTCCTTTTGGTGTCTCCCTTTTGAGGGGGCGACCCTGCGGTGATGACTGGTATTGCAAGGCCATCAGGAGTTGAGCCTGTCTCTGATCCTTATGTTTTTCCTTTTTCCCTTTTTTTCCCTCCTGGCCCTGGCCATAGAAAACCAAATTGACCACCTTAAGGAGTTCAGAGCTTGGGGTGTCTGACCCTAGGGAAACTTTTGGCATTTCCTCCTAATATCTGGGGTGGTCTGAGTGATGAGTCAGCCATTAAGAACTATAAGATATCTGATCTGAGATCAAGGTTGGTATGTTTAGTTAAAGTCTGTCTTGGTCTTTCCATAAAGGCTGCAGGGTTTTCTTCCTTTCCCTGGTTTATGAGAGCCAGCTTGTTATAATTAATTGCCTTTGACTGGCATCTTTTCATTCTATTTGTTAGACAGATTGTAAGATGGTCTTGGGACCATTGTCCTTGTAGAATCTCATAGTTCCAATGAGGATCTGTGATTGGGATTGCCATGTTATCTACTAGATACCTCACAATGGAACTATGAAGTTTATCCCCAAATTGGATGGTGGGCTCCGCAGTTCCATCTCAGCATGCCTTGGAGAGAGTCTGATTGAGAATGACCACCATGTCCTTGAGGACAAATCAAAAGTTAGTGCCGGGGCACCTGGGTGGCTCAGCTGTTAAGCACCTGCCTTCGGCTTAGGTCATGATCCCAGGGTCCTGGGATCGAGCCCCACATCGGGCTCCCTGCTTGGCGGGAAGCCTGCTTCTCCCTCTCCTACTCCCCCTGCTTGTGTTCCCTCTCTTGCTGTGTCTCTCTCTGTCAAATAAATAAATAAAATCTTTAAAAAAAAAAAAAGTTAGTGCCAAACTAACTGATATGTAAATGTCAGGGTCCTCAGAAAAATCTCCCAAGTCCTTTTGGACTTGATGGAGATCACTCATAGAGAATGGAGTATGGACCCGCATGGTGGTTCCAGTTGGACCATCCATTTCCTAGAGGGGACACAGAATTGAAAGGGGCTTGTTAGGACTTGAGGGTGTTGATGGTCCCAGATATGGGGATACTGGATCATTGTTTTGGACTATGGTAGTGTTTGGTGGGGCAGTGGGGCTTCGGGAAGCCTCCTCTGGTGGTGGGGGAGGGGGCTTAAGGCTTGGATCTATGAGGAGAGCTAAAGTGGACAGCTCAATTTTTCAGGTTTTGGGAAAAGCCTGGGGTTTGTTTGAGGAACATGAAGACTTGGACCTAAGGGATCTGAGACCTCTGTCCCTAGTCTCTAAAAAAGAGGTCTAGCTGTAAAATGGTATTATAAAGATTTTTTTTTTTTTTTTGAGAGAGAGAGCATGATCAGGGGAGAGGGGCAGAGGGAGAGGGAGAAGCAGACTCCCCACTGAGCAGGGAGCCCAATGTGGGGCTCAATCCCAGGGCCCTGGAATCATGACCTGAGTCGAAGGCAGATGCTTACTGACTGAGCCACTCAGGCGCCCCGATAAGATGGTGTTATAATCCAATGTCCTATTGTGGGGCTCTGTTGCCCCATCTCTTAGTTTATATCGGGGCCATGCTGTATGCAGAAAAGATGAACCATTTCCTCTTTAAAGTTTGGGGGTCAAACATTCCAGTTAGCGAGGATGCATCCCAGGGTGCATCTGATAACCAGTTTCCCATCTGTAAGGGGATAGCAAGGAGGAGTAGACACAATATTGCAAGAGTGTCCCCATTGGAATGTTGTGTATCCAGAAGGGAGATGGCCTTCCTCTCTGCTTTGAAGAACAACCCTGAGGCTGTCCCCCCAGAAGAGGCCCACGGCCTTAATTAATATTACTACAGCCTGTCCTTTGTTTACCTGCCTCCTCGCAGTTGAGGTGCCCATGAGGGAGGACATTGGTATATTTTATGGTCCTTAATGAGTCCCCGACTGCCAAGATGTATGCCCTGGCCCTCAACATCTATGTAGTTCCATTTCCAGATTTCATCCCAGGCCCTCTCAGAAGTATTAATTTGAGAAGTTGGAATAGGCACAAAGATTTGCCTTTGCCCAACTGGAAATAAACTCCCACACGATACAATGATTATCATGCACCCACCTTGGATTTAAGTTTCAGAGGCCCATTGAGACCATCTTTCCAGAAAGAGAAGGGGAGGGGGGCACGTGAGGAGGTCTGATAGGAGGCAACAGAAAAGGTAGAACTCCTGGTTAGATGGATCATCGAGGAGGTTGAATGAGTATGAGGATGGACGGAACCAGCAGATCGGACAGCACGTCCTCGGGTTTTGAGGGGCACACACTTTGTGAGTGATGGGAGAAGAGGTTTAGGAAAGGAAGAAATGCAGACAGTAGTAGCCAAATTGCAAAGTGAGTGGGAGCTGACATCCGAACAAATAAATCAGACATGGGTCCTCTAGCCCCAGCGGGGTGAGGACCTTGTGCGATCGGATCTTACCTTGTGCGATCGGAGTCACGGCATCAAGAGATGTTACCGGTGGAAGCTTGCGTTGTGTCAATGGAAGTCTTGGTTCTTGGATTCCCCTCAAAAGATTTTTATGAGGATCCGCTCTCGAATAAAGACAGAAGGAATGTCCCAAGCACAAAGCATTTTATTAAAGAACAGTACACTGTCAAGATGGAGGGGAGGGGGATTGACGACTACCCCAAGGCTGTAGGGAATTTTTCCCTTCTATGTTAAGTGGGGCCTAGAGCCATGGAGGAGGTGGTCTTTAATGGAGGTTGCATCGGACCGTTTGGAGACTCCTCCTACCCGTGCGGAGGGGGAACTTTTGCCCCTACAAGGTTCCTACCGGCACTGTCAAGGCCGCTTTCTCCCACCGGGGTTTGGGGGGGGGGGTGAAACCGCGATGCAAATGCATTACAATGACGTTTGTTCTGTACCAGCTACCCTTGGTCCGCTAGCCGGGAAACCAAAACGCTTGCTTGTCTTTCTTTTAGACGAGCCCCCAGAGGCTTTAAGGGCAAGCCCTCCATTACCTAGCCCTTCCCCTCCCATCCCTTAATGCCTAACACGCTGCCCGCCACGTAGTAGGGGGCTCAATAAAAGCTTGTTGAACGGATCAGCCCAGCTGCGAAGGCCGCCTTAAGCGTAGCCAGAGGACAGACCCTGGCACGGACTGAACTGGACCGAACAGGAAGAACCTGACGCCAGGGGGAGCAAGAACCGTGCTCTCCAGATCTCGCGGGAGTTGCTCGCGCGCCGGCGCGCGCGGCAGCGTCGCGGGTTCTGTTTCTGACGGAAGCGCGGGGCGTGAAAAAGGAGCTACCCTAGGGCGCGCGGCCTCGCCTGTGGCGTGGGAGTTGCTTCCGGGTTGCGCGCCCGGAAGCAGGAAGTTGTCGGCTTACCCTCCTTGCCCGGCGGCTGCTGTCCCCGAGGCGGGAGGAGCCCGAGAGGGCGCGGGCCCCGCATGTGAGTGACTGGGGCCCGAGGCCGGGAAGGGGGGGAGGCGGCGCTGCGACAGCCTCACCGCCGCCGCGCCCGTCTGTGACATCCTCGAGCAGCCCCTTGCCCCTGCGCAAACGCTTTTCCTGAGCCTCAGGTGTTTCGCAGACTGTACCCTCGGCAACTTCCCCCTTCGCCCCCGCGCCAGGATCGACTCCCTTAAGACCTCTTTTCTTTCCTTGGCTCCGTGGGGCCGAGCAAAGCGAGGTTGACCTTGCTTGAACCTGTTTCGCAGGCGTCACGGCCGTGTCCAAAACACGATTGGCGCCAGCGAAGTCTAGATTTCACTGCCCTTTTGACGGATTCCTAATTTTTTTGTATATTGGGAGTAGATTTCCCGCTCCCAACATCTTTTTCTAATAATTGTCAAGGAATTTTTTATTTAAGTGTGGACTTGGTATATGATAACCGTAGCATCTAAGATTTCAGAAAGTTGATGACTTGGTTTATTGACCCGATGAACTTGTTTGTAATCCCTTTTAGTACAAAAATCGCCTGCCTTGTGTTCCATAGTGTCCTAAGACCATTAATCCTGCTGTCACACCTTTTCTTGTTTTTTTTAATTTTTACTTTTTTAATTTTTATTGTATTTATTTATTTTTTTTAACACCTTTTCCTGTTTAAGAGCCTGCATAGCCTTGGTATTCGCGAGTACATTTAAAATATTCAGTCATCACTTTATAGTAGAAACTACTCCCAGATACTTATTCTGACTTTTTCTGGTTGCCATTTGGTTTTCCCATGGTGGAATCCTCTATGGGCATTTCTCCCTTAATAAAAGTGTGTATTTGAGTTTATCACAATTTCTTTTCTAAAGAACAACCCAAATGCAACTTTGCTACATTGAAGGTTTGACTGAAGTTCACATAGTCCAACTTGCATACCAAAGAGTAATCCTGTTTGCCCAGTTAGGCCTTTCTGCTTTGGACCAAAACAACTTTCAAGACCCAGTTTGAATTCCTGTTCCTCTATAGCTGCCCTACACCACCACAGATTGTCTAAATGGGAGGTTCCTAATCTGCTCATCTAAATCCTTCTTAGATTGATAAATTTTTAAGAGTAAGAATAAAAGTTAAAATGAATAAAGCGTTACGTAAATTAGTTTGGGAAAAGAATGATCACTTTAGGTCCTTTCTATAAATTTGCTTAGTAGACATTGATCAGGTTCCATGTCCCTGAGGTGAATTTCCGTGCCTGTTTTTAGTTTCTTCTGTTATTTTCTCCATTTATCTTTGGTTTCAAGTGTTAAGTAACAAAAATTCAAATGAGTAAATTTTAAAGATATAATTGGCTTTATTAATCAATTCATCAATTAGGCAGCATTCCCAGTCTAGCAAGTAGAGGGGAGCTCCTAAGGGCTACAGAGAAGGAAAGGTTTTTAAAGGTAGAGAGAGGGGCGCCTGGGTGCCTTAACTGGGTAAGTGTCCAACTCTTGATTTTGGCTCAGGTCATGATCTCAGGGTTGTGAGATTGATCCCTGCGTTGGATTCTACACTCAGCAGGGAGTCGGCTTGAGATTCTCCTTCTCCCTCTCCCCACTCCTCCAAAAATAAATAGGGAGTGCCTGGGTGTCTCAGTCAGTTAAGCGGCTGCCTTCTGCTCAGGTGATGATCCCAGGGTTCTGGGATCAGGCCCTGCATCGGGCTCCATGCTTAGCGGGGAGCCTGCTCCCGCTCCCCGTGCTTGTCCTCTCTCTGTCAAATAAATAAACCTAAAGAAAAATAACAAATTAAATAAAATCTTTAAAAAAAAGGTAGAGTAGAACAAAGGCTTTTTTTTTTTTTTTTTAATTAGGCAAGGTCATTCTCCTAAGGGGAATGGGATGAGTTCTGTCAGTAAATTTATTCTAGCACTGACCAGAAATTCCATGTTGACTGGTTAAAGTTCTAAGGGATTTGAAACTGTAGTTAGGTTAGGTGTTAAGTCTTGGTTTACTGACTTAACCTAAGGGACACCATTTGGGGCCTGTGATTTTCTTTTTAACACAAACAATTTAGTGTGAGGAGACATGGCAAGAGGTATAATACAGAGTGATCGAGTTGTGTTTAAGGTTCAAAGGACAAACATCAAGGCTGGAATAAGGAGTTCACTCATTTGAAAAGCATGGGAGCTAGACTTTGTAGGCAGAGGAAATTATTTGTACAAAAGCAAAAAGATATGAAATGGTATGTCAGTGAAGCATGTGAGGAAGGAATGGGAAATGAGACTGAACAGGTAAGCAGTGACCAGGTCATAAAGGGCCATGCTAAGTAATTTGGACTTCATCTTATAACAATTATTAAGTATTAAATTTGGGTTCCGGGACACATGTTTTACATTCATCATCTTGTAATCCCTGAACAACAGTGTTAGAAAGACAGAATCATCCCCATTTTATAAAATGATGAAAACTCTGCGGCTTAGATTAAGTAGTATCTCATGGCTACATAGTAGATGGAAGATCAAATAATTGTCCAGCTTTTTCCAGCTCCGTTGCCTTCTTAACCCACTGTCTACCTTGTTCCACAGCAGGGCATGGAGATTCAAGGAAGTTGCTTTATTTTATTTATTTATATGTTTATTTATTTGAGAGGGAGAGAGAGAATCTTAAGCAGGCTCCACACTAGGCTGCAGGTCTTGATCTCACAACCCTGAGGAAATGACCTAAGGCAAAATCAAGAGTCGGACACTTAACCAACTGTGCCACCCAGGAGCCCCTCAAAGAGGTTGCTTTAAAGAGATGAGTAACGTGAACCAATTTGTGTTTCAGAAGAATTTGTGGAGAGAGTAGAGGATGGATTGGAGAGGAGAAGAAGGACTGGAAGTATAGAGATTAATTATATCTTTGTGACGGTCCATGGGAGGCATGTTGAGGGCCTTAACTGCCATTATGTAGAGCTAACGAGATGATGAATGTGCGAACTATACAGGGGGTGGAATTGAGGATTTAGTGAGTGGTTCATTGGTGTGTTTGAGGAAGAAGGAAGAGAGGTTTTTAATTTGGAGAACTGGTGTTTCCAGTAATTACAAAGCAGAATATGGTAGGAGAAATGGGTTGCAGGGGGAAAATAGTCAGTTATGGACACATTACATATAGGGGACAGTGAGAAATTCTGGCCGGGGTGTCTGGTAGGTAGATAGATGGATGGGTTTGGAGTTCTGGAAAGTTGTAGACTGGAGAAGAGATTTGGGAATCACTAATAGATGGTGGTTAAAGCCACAGAGGGAATGAGAAGATCAAGGACAAATGTGATGAATACCGACATTCAGGGGTATAGTCTCTGAGAAAAGAGAATTATGCCAAGGTTTGAGAGCACTTGAGTCTACGGCCATACCACCCTGAACGCGCCCGATCTCGTCTGATCTCGGAAGCTAAGCAGGGTCGGGACTGGTTAGTACTTGGATGGGAGAGCACTTGAGGGAGAAAATGGATAGCAACAGCAGCTTTTGCAGAGAGGTCAGGTAAGGTGATAGTTGAGAAAACATCCTTTGGACTTGCCATGTAGAGAGCTATTGGTGGCCTGAGTGAGAGCAATATTGGTGTGAGTGGGGCAGAAATACAATTTCAAGAGGTTAATAAACAAATGGAGACCTGAGAAAAAAAGTGAAGTGATGGCTTTTTTTTTTTTTTTTTTTTTAAGGAGCTTGGCTATGAAGGGAGGGAGGGTTTGTTGTTGTTTTAATGGTAGAAACTAGAAAAGGTGAGGATAAGACCAGGTAAAAATAAGTTTTAAAATGTGGGGGTTACTGCTTCAAATATGTTCATATCGTAAAGGACAAAAAAAAAAAAAGCACCAGGATCTGTTCTAGATTTAAATAGACCAAAGAGAATTGACAGCTAGTTGTGATGTGTGACTATTGATTGGATCCTGCGTTTCTAAAAAACTATAGGGCGTTTTTTTAACAGCAATTTGACTATGGAGTGGATATTAGGTAATCTTAGCGAGTTATTTTAGTAGGTATGATAATTTTGCTTATGATTAAGTAGAGCAGTGTCCTTATTCTGAGGAGATGCATGCTGAAATATTTAGAAGTGATTTCATGATGTGTCACAACTGATTTTTAAATGGTTCTGGCAAAAGCAGAGAGGAGACCAGCAAATTTGGCCAAACGTTAACAATCAATCTAAGGGAAGGATATACAAGTGTTTATTGTAGTAGTTCCGTTTCTCTGGAGGCTTGAAATTTTTCCAAAAATAAGCGGTTGGAAAAAGTGGAAGAGGCATATTTTCAGTGAGCGAAGAAAGTATCAGACTCACCAAGTTTTACTGGACAAAGATGTCCAGAAAGAGGACTTAGTCAAGTGATGCTAAAACTACAAAAAAGTAGAATTCCCTTGGCTGTAAATTTTGAGCACTTCTACGTTTTTAAATTCCTGCTCTTTTAAGTCCTATTGTTTTAATGTTCATCAACTATTTTTCCTTTAAATATGACGTTTATTTTTTCTTAGCGGTTTTTATTACAACCCAAAGGCTGCGTTTTTTTCATTTTAGTAGAACATCTTCAGTTAATGGGAATCACTGGATAAAATAGAATAGAATTTGTTCATAACACTAAGGAGTGGATTATCATACTGCATAGCTAGCGTAATACTAAAGAACCTTGTACCAGAAAAAGAAAATTTGATATTACTCAGGATATTGTCCCCACTTTTGAAGATTAGGGCTTCCCCTTTCGTGTTTTAGCTAGATGCATCAATATGGCATCTCAGAGTTGCCTAACTTGGCACAGCTGTTTAGTTTGGAAAACTGAGAACCTCCACTGATGTCAAATCAGTGTTTAGGACGTATTTATTACCATGAAAGAATTCTGTATCAGGGCAAAGCAGAAGTTTACATTCAGTGTGACCTCTTAACTTGTTTTTTGCTTTCAACATTTTTATTGATAAGTTCTATCAGAGTCATTCGATCAACTATGCTTCTGTCCTGTTTTTTTCCTAGACTGAGACCCAGAAGGAATTGTGGAGAACATCTCATCGGAGCTGTCAGT